TCCTTCGCATAGAGTTGATCAGGTTGTTGATCGTGGCCTGTGGAATGTTGGTCCACTCCTCTTCAATGGCTGCTGGATGTGGAGGTCCTGGGCTGGTGTGGTTACACGTGGTCTGCGGTTGTGAAACCGGTTGGATGTACTGACAAATTCTCTGAAACGCCTTTGGAGACGGCTTATAGTCGAGAAATGAACATTCAATTCACGGGCAATAGCTCTGGTGGACATTCCTGCAGTCAGCATGCCAATTGCTCACTAACACAGATTTAGACAGATTTGTGAACAATATTTGAGAGAAATAGGCCTTTTGTGTACATAGAAAATGTCTTAGATCTTTGAGTTCAGCTCATGAAAAATGGGGGCAAAAACAAAAGTGTTGCGTTTATAATTTTGTTCAGTGTACATATCAGCACTGATCACTAAATTGAACCCACATAGACGAGAATGACAGCATTTTCAAATATAAATTTTGTCCCATTATGTTTACTTATTTTATAAATATCCTGTCAGGTTTAATTCTGATTATCTTTGAACAGTGTTCATAGGCTGTGGACATAGACTTGTTCTTCTACATAAAAATATACATAAACACATAAACACACTGGTTTGTATTGCAAATAGTTTTACCATTTACTGGACTTTAATTTTTCAAGTTATTTACCTATAGCGGCTAATGAATCGGAAGGCTCACAAACTCACTGAAAATAGCTTACTTCTGCGTTGCAAAATAATGTGGCTATTAGGGCATCCCAGGGTTGGCTGAAAGTCTTGGTGGGAGGTCCTTGCAGAAAAGGTTGACAACCACTGCATTAAAGTGAAATGAAAATTCTGTCATTAATTACTCACCCTCATGTCGTTCTAAACCCGTGAGACCTCGGTTCATCTTCGGAACACAAATTAAGATATTTTTGATGAATTCTGAGAGCTCTGTGACCCTCCCATAGACAGCAATGTAATTACCACGATCAAGGTTCAGAGACGTAGCAAGGAGATCTGTAAAATAATCCATGTGACATCAGGGGTTCAACCGTAATTTTACGAAGCTACGAGAATACTTTTTGTACGCAAAGAAAACAAAAATAACAACTTTAACAATTCAACAATTCGTTGAATTCAACAATCAGCGTATGCTATTCTGTGTCAGCTGCGTCATGCGGATAGGTTTTCTACGTTGTTTACGCTTTGATTTGAACGAAAACAACGTATCCACGTGACGCAGCTGACACAGAATAGCATACA